GTTTGGTCAGTAAACAAGCGCTGGGCCTCTGCCTGCGGGGAGCCCCGCCCCGCTCTGGGGTCACTAGTTCCAGCCGACTGGAGCACTCGGCTACCCATGCAGACAGAAGGCAGCCGGGGTGCAGGGGGTGACTGGGGGTGGCCACAACTGGTTCGCTGTCGGGCTGTGTCTTTCATGAATATTACAAGCGAGTTCTTATGTACAAGAAATTTGTTCTGCTGTGAGAAAAACAGAATCTTTTTTTTTTCCCCCTTAGGAAAGATAAATAAGGCCACTTGTACTCTACCCAGCACTAGCAACTTCTGAAGCTATGTGCAACTCGCAGTTCAGGCATTTTTATTTATTTTATTAAAATAATGACCTGAACATTCCGTCTTCTACGCCTTCCAGAAAAAACACAGACGCGGAGGCGCCTGGGCGCCCAGGTGGCAGGGGGCACGTCCGGCGGTGCGTCAGCCTGGCCCGACCCGGGCCGATACCCCTGCGGAAGGCTCCAGGTCCCCAGGAACCTCGTGGGCCCGGGTTCTGAAGGCTTCCGGGGCACCGCGTGCGGGTCTGCAGCTCCAGCTCCGAGTCCGGCTCTTGCTAAGTCTTTCCCCCAGGACCCAGAGTTCAGAGGCCCAAGACTCCACCAGAGGTTCTCCAGGCACCCCGCCCCCACCCCCGCCTCCCCCACCACGCCCAAACGCCAGGCCTCCTGGAGTTCCGATTCTCACCAGGGGGGGCGCCTGCCCACGAGAATGCCGCAGAAACCAGGGAGGACAGCAGCTTGGACCAGGGAGAGGAAGGTAGGACTGGGAGAGCCTCCCCTTGCCCCCTGCCACTGCCACGGTCTAGGACGTCAGTGAAGCCACCCAGATATCTGGCCTTTCCCCGGTGTTCCTGGCTGTGCTTCTCCTGTGACATGATGACACTCGGCAGAGAGAGGTAGACGAAGAGAGCCTGCCTGGCACCTGGAAGTGGCCCTATCTGCCCATCATCTGGCGGAGCAGGCTTCTCTCTGCTTCCCTTTAATGAGATGCTAATGAGATGCATCATTAACGCAGCAGCTTTTAAACCTCGGCTCTTGTAAATTTTCAAAGGTCACATTTTTACGGAGGCTGACAGCATCCCGCTTCTTGCAGCGACTGAAGAACACTAAAGACCCTGGTCCTTAATGGATGAAAAAGTCTCCGAGGCAGCGGCACGGGCTCAAGTGCCCGCTGGGCGCCGGTTGGGGGCTGGGGAAGCTCCTGCCGCAGCAGCAGGCCCCCTGGGCCCTGGGCTGTGCTCTACCAGCCCAGGCGGAGCTGCACGGGGGGCGGCTCCACCTGGGGGAGGTGTGCAGGGTGCAGGCCTCGACACTGCCGCCGTCGTTTGTGTGGTGCTGGCAGGCTGGCGGGGACTGCCTTCCGCCAAGTGTCACGGAGGACAGCCAGGCCCACCCTTCTCAGTGACGAGCCCTTCCCCTCCACGGAGCCCAGAGTCACCCAGGCCTCCCCTCCATGAGATGGGTCAGACAATGCCTCCCTGCTCACCCTCGGCCGGAAACACAGCTGGACGCTGGGACACGGTGATGGTCAAGGTTCGACTCCTGCCCTTGAGGAGTCTGTGCTGGTGGGATGGGACACGCCTGCACCGAGGACCCTGGAGGATGGTGCAGGCTGGGAGAGTGGCCACAGGACCACAATGCTGCGACACGACGCCAGCTCTGGGCCCCGCCTTTTGAGAGGACTCGCAGCCTCTGCCTGGGTCTCTCGGACCCTCCAGACCAGACCAGCGACCCGATGGATTCCACTGTGTGACTCGAGTCAACACCAGGGGCACTCAGGTGGTCCAGCCGAGCCCTCTCGGAGTGTCTGTACACAGATTTGTGAGCTCTTGTAAAATTTGTTCAAAGCCATGAAAAACAAAAGGATACGCGGTCTACTGTATATATTGCAAAACAGCAAAAGATCAGAAGTCCTTTGTCTGGCGCTCCTGACACACAAACGCCACAGTTTTGTTCGCATCCCTTTGTGTCCCACCTCCGGGAGGGGCCGGTGCCCAGGGAGCAGGCAGCATAACTGGGGCAGAGAATGCGGGAACTCCAGTCAGTGCGACCTCTCCCCAGGCACGGGCGGCGGGGTGGGGGGCGGCAGGTGGCCTTGCATGAAAATGGAGAAGCCACGGGTGACACGGGTGGATCACACTCGGAGCTTGCCCCTAGGGGTCCTCCCATGGAGGGGCTCTCCAGCGGGAGTGCTTGTACGTGTCTGGCGGGGGGGCAGGTTGTGAAGAAGGCAGGTTTCTGGATCCGCCCCCAGAGCTTCTGATTCAGAGGGTCCAGGACGGGGGGTGGACCCCTAAAGGTGGCTCCTGCACAAGCCTGCCAGGTGTCGCCGGTGGCCCGTGGACCTCACTCAGAGGCACAGTGACAGCCTTGACCTCCAAGCTCCCAGGCCACTTGGGCCCTGACTTGGTGACCTCAGAGCTGAAGCTGCGGGCAGGTCCTGGCTGGGCCAGAGTTTTGCGCCCTGCTCATGGCACTCAGAGGCGCCAGCGCTTTGGTCACGCTGTCTCCACGGACTCCCGCCCCCGGCCTAGGTTCCAAGGGGCCAGGAGGACACGCTGACAGACACCAAAGCTATAAATCTGGGGCCTCGGGAAGAACGAATGACATTTATGAGTCTCTCAATTCCCATTTCAGGATGGCTACTGATCTACACAAGAGGGTAATTGCAGTTAAAGTCCCACCGGGGGCTGGGGGACGCTCTCTGGAGCCCCCTCCTGCCCTCATTAATGAGGCTGCTCCCTTCGGCCCCCCGGCCCCAGGCCAGTGCCCTCGGGCTCCCTTTGGAGCGGCACCATAACGCACTCTGGGGCCCGATGAAATTTCTAATAATACTAACCAATGATGTGTTAAATTGAGACACTTCTGGCTCGCACGCCGGAAACCGCATGATGGTTTAAAGGACCAGTGCTTACCTTTCTCTATCAATTTGCTGCTAAATTACTGCTTTCGGAGCGACTTACAGAAAAGTAATTCTTTATTTAAATTTTAATTTCAATCTTGTCATTTTAAATATATATTCAGATTCCAATCATATTACAGAGTATGATGGTGTCTCCGGAGGGCAAGCGTTCCTGCTGGGAGCTCGGGTGGGGGCGGGGGAGGGGAGAGGGTGTGGCTTGGGGGTGGGGAAGGGAGCTGTGCACAGAGGGAGGGACCCCAGGGGACAGTGTGATGAGGGTCCCCATGTGCTGGGGTCTGAGATGGAACTGCAGAGGCCAGCAGTCAGCCTTGACCCTGGCCCTGTGCTCCCAGCCTTTGTGTCCTGCCCGGAGGGTCACCTGCGAACACTGTAAGACGAAACCGCCAACTACTGCCTGTGCCGTCTCTCTCCCTGGGTCGGCCTAAGGACCCAGCCCTAAAGCGCTGCCCCGCACAGGTGAGACGGGGCTGCCGGCCTAGCAGCTCACACTTACTGAGCGCCTCCTACCTGCCCTGGGCACGGGCACGACGTGTTTCCCTCCCGTGAGGAGTTCTGTGCTCTCGCCTTCATGCCTTCATTGTCCAGGTGAGGGTCATCAGCCCGGAGAAGGACCGTCCTAGCCAGACCTGGGGCCCTTACCGCCCTACGCCGTCCTGAGACTCCCCGCGGTGCTCTGGGAGGGCCAGCCCGCCCCGCTGCGGCTGACGCCCCGTAAACAGGTGTAGCTGTGTCAGGGCCACGCTCACACTGCCCTGTGTGGGTGGCCCTCAGCGCCCCTCTCCTGGTGCCCACGGGGTGCCTGCCACGGACTCCCCTTCCTCCACTGTGTCCCCCCCAACTGGGCTTCCTGCTCTGATCCTGTCAGCATGACGGGCTGGGGAGCCAGATCCCCGGGGGCTTCCATCACGTCCCCCAACTCTTCAGACCCCCTAGGCCCCAGGCCGCGGACGTGTTCCTCCAACCCCTGCCCGTGCACTCTTGGCCCTTCCCAGTGGGGCCAGTTCTTCAGCCCCAGGCTAGGGCGGCGCCCCTCTCCAGAGCCGGCGGTGCACCGCAGGGTCTGCCCTCACGGCCTCTTCTCCTGCTGCTTCCTCTCCATCAGCCCCTTCCCCTCGGCTTTCCTTGTGCGAGCACCGCAGCTGCCAGTCCCGCACCCACCTGCCTCCTCCTCTTCTTCGGTGGCCTTTCCCCTCCCCGGGGCCAGGGCATCTGCCATTGGACTCCTGTCACCCCTCACCTGTCACCTCTGAACTCTTCCCACCCCAGCACTTCAGTGAGGACATCGAATGACCCTTTAAATGACCAGTCGCCTCCTGATGCCAAGTCAGGAGCATTTCCCAGCCTGTTCCTCTGACCCCCACACTGGCATCCTCCCTTCTCCCTCCTGGAACGCCTTCCCTTCCACATAGGTCACAATGCTGTTCCTGGCTCTCTCCCTCGGCGGTGCTGTTCACCAGCTTCTCTCGCCAGGTCTCCCACCTGGACACGCCCCGGGGCTCCGCCCGGTCCCCCGTGCGCCTCTTTCAGCACCTTCGGGGCCCTACCTTCTCTCTCAATTATCTTTCTGGCATGAAACACCTGCGCGGCAGCCATTGTCTCTGATGAGACCCAGCTTCCTATAGCATTCTGCGAGTATATTTGCTCCCCGTTTCCCGGCTTCAAAGCCTGCGGCTGAGAGACATTTCTGCTCAGAGTTCAGCACCGAGGGCTCCCCTCGCACATGCGAGGCAGCCGTGCCGGGGGCGGCGCCCGCACCGCGCCCTGTCCAGGCCCCCGGAACCTCTCCCGGTGGAGGGGCCTCGCGCACAAAAGAAATGATAAATCCGGCAGAACCTTCAACTCAAAGCTTTCAACTCTCCTCTAACAACATTCAACGGGAAACTTCTTAGTCCCCTTTCCAAGTAACTTTTCATCCATTACAAAACCCACACAATTTTCAAAGGGGCTTTGAAATGAGATCACCTAGAAAAAAAAAAAAAAGAGCCCATCGCAAACGGAAGTCTTTGAAAAGAAAGAGGCCCTTTCCTGTGCCTCGGCCCCCCTCTGGTTGCCGCTTCCCTTTCATTCCGCGGAAAGGTGCAGGGCCAGCCTGGCCCGCAGCAGCCGCCTGTGATGCGAGGGAGCGAGTGGCCCAGATGGACAGGTGAGGGGGAGGGCGGGGGGCACCTGCTCGCAGCGCTGGGGTGGGCCCTTCCTCGATTCCTCCACCCCCTTCCGACGGCCCTCACCGCTCCCCCCAACGGCCGTGTGCCTTGCAACCTGCCCGGCCTTGGCCCCGCTCACCCCGGCATTCGCGAGGAGGCAGCTCCCTCTGGACCGCGGCGACCCACCCTCATTCTGGTTGCCGGGGTGGGCGGGAAGGTAGGCATGGCGAGAGCAGCCCCGTTCGGGCCTTTGATGGGACAGCTCCCACGTGCTGGCCCTGCAGGCAGACACCTTGGCACCACCCCTCTCCCTCCTGGCCTCAGAGCCCGTGACACGCCTGTCCTCCCCAGGGTCAGCTCCAGACGCTCGGACACACTTCCGACAGTAGCCATTCCCGGAGCCTTCGTTAAGTGCGGACACAAAGTCCTCAGTGCATCTGGTAAGGAAAAGCCCTTTGTGCGGGCAGCTGAGCTAAAGGGGAGGGAGGAGATACATGAGGGCCCCCCACTGAACACTGGAAGCTCCAGCTTGGCCCGCGGAGGCCGAGGCCCTGAGTGCCCAATATTAATTTTAAACCAGGCCTCAGAGGCCTTCCTGGAGGCGGCTGCTCGCCACCCCAGGGGAAGCAGTAGGCCCTTTGGCACAGCTCGGTCGGGGGGGTGGCCTGGCCCCTCTGCCTCTGAGGGCCGTCCCAGGCCCACCCTCCAGGGCGTTCTAGGGTGAACAAAGGCCTCCTTGGGTGCAGGACCCACCCAGAGCCAGAAAGAACCCCAAGACTGAGAGTCCCCCTGACTGTCTGCACTCCCTCAGGGTCCCTTCTTCAACGAACCGCTAACACCCCTCAAATCCCCCTCCACCCGCCCTTTGAGTTGCGGGCCAGGGCAGAGCATTTCAGGTGTTCATCCCAGACAGGAGGAGGCTCTCCGGTGCGCGGGAACGGTTCCGAGTTCTGAAGCCTCCGCCACGCGGCCGGCACCGCGACACTCCCTCCGAGTGGGAAGTCGACTGAGTTCGACTCTCACGCCCAGCAAGGAGGTGCTGACACAGACGTCTTCGGCGACCTCATTAGAGGCCTAACAAGAGGGAGGACTGTGTCAGGGTCACCCCGAGGTCAGGCAGGACAAAGAAACAAACAATGCAGCACAAGTGTCCCTGTGAGGCAGCTCCTCAGACCTGGCTGCACGGCTCAAGGAGCTAAAACAGTTTCACTGCCGGGACTTCAAGATGCACCGCAGCAAGTTCAGCTTCAAGTGCGTGTCTCAGGACTGCGGCCTGGGTTCTGCAGCCCAGCAGGCCTGGGAGCTCAGCGGGACTGACCGCGCCTGCCGGGGAATGGTCCAGAAGCACACAACCGGGGCTCCCATTTACATCTTCCCCGCTCTCCGGCACCCCCTCTCTGCTCGGGCCACAGTCCAGCTCAGCTCCCTTCGTTCAGAACTGCGGTGGTTCAAGCGATTCTCCTTAAAGGGAACAGCATCGCTGAGCACCAGCTCGCCTCTTCGGGCTCGGAGAGCTTGCTGGGGCGGATGGATTCCGTCTAAACTCACAGGAGGTCCAGGCGCAAGAGGAAGAGCAGTGCGATTCCCAGGAGGTGGAGGAAGGGGGCGGGAGGCACAGGGGAGCAGCCCTCTCGGGTGGATGGACACACAGACTTCTCTCTTCCTCGGCAGTGAGGTGGGAGGGGTGCGGCTGTGGGAGAGCAGAGCTGTGAGGGTTCTGCCCAGCTCGGCGGCGAGAGGGTGCACCAAGGAGAGGGCTGTGGGGCTTGCCGCCTGCGGCTGCTTGCTGTGGATCCCTGGGCCGGGGGAGGAGGGTGGCAGACAAACTCCCTCTTCTGATGCCCCTTCCTTAGCAGAGGGGGCGGGCCAAGGCTTCCTTCTTCCCTTCATCTCCCAGAAGCAGCGCCAGCTACCACAGCCCCATCCATTCTGTGCTGGGGCCCATCACCTTCAGGTGCATCGTTCATTCATTCATTCATTCATTCACTCACCCCACACTTACTGAGAAGCTAGCCTGTGCCGGCAGACACAGCAACGAATAGCCTCTGGCCCAGGGGGCACACAGGCTGATGGAGGAGTCGCAATCCTAACTGTACCAGCTAATACCTATTGAACCCTCAGATGTGCCAGCTTCTAGCCCTCAAGACCCAGGAGCTTTCTGAAGCCGAGGTCTGAGTATCCACCTCCATTCCCCACTGTATCAGTCACCTTGTCCGCGGTAACGAAATACAGTAGACCGGGTAACGTGACGGCAGAGATTTATTTCTCACAACTGTTCTGCAGACTGGAAGTCCAAGATCAGGGTTCTGGGTGGGCTCTCAAGAGAAATCCTCCTGGCTGCCTTCTTGCTGTACCCTCACATGGCAGAGAGAGAGAGAGGGGGGAGGGGAATTCTAGTCCCTTCCTCTTTCGTAGTCCTATCTTGGGACCCCCATCCTCATGACCTCACCCAAACCAAATTACCTCCCAAAGGACCCATCTCTGAATGCCATCACAGTGGAGCCAGGGGTTCCACATAGGAGTTGGGGGATGCCGTGGGCGCTCAGCAAACGTTTGCTGAGCTGCACGGAGATCTGTCTGTCTGTTGTTTCTCTGTCCCACCTTGTCCCCCAGGCCCCGGCGTGGGGGGTTTTAACAGAGGGACACCGCAGGCCCGACCAGCCTACAGCTGGCCCTCCCGCCAGCCTGCGCTCTAATTTTCTGATGCTTTGCTGTTTCCCCTCTCACAACATAATCTCCCTGATCTCCAGTCTTTCCCGAATGCTGTGGAAAGGCTTGTTGTATTTATCTCCGGAGAATCTGCCGTGCCCCTGTGCAATTTTCCATTGTCATGGTTCATTTTAATTTCCTCTAAGGCTGTTGGCCACTCTCGTGTTCAGAAATAGCTTGTTCCACTTAATAAAAGCGCTTAAATATGCAGACATGAGAAGTTTCCTTGGCTCGCTCCTGAACCTCGCAGCGAGGGGAGTGAGTTGCATGCCCTGCCTTGCGCGGTTAGGCTGAGCACACGCCAGGGGGCCTGCGAGGGAGGGAAACTCAGAACGAAAGGTGTGGCGGAGCGGGACCCAAGCAAGAGCTTCTGCTGGAGACCCAGCGGCCGGGGTGGCATGCTTCTGTCTTCCAGCCCACAGTGCCCGGGGTCTCCCGAGGTGCCTCCTCTGCCGTAATCATCAGAGCTCTGGCATGGCAGGCGGAAGGTCTGGATTCAAGTTCTGCTCCACCTCTACCTAGCCTTGTGACCTTGCATGGGTCATTTCACCTCTCAGCAGCATCCTGCTTCTTCCTCTATAATACTGGTATGATAATTCTTCCAAAGGTTGATTTCAGCGAGGAGTGAAAAATCCTCTGCTTCCAGGGGCTCCGTGCAGAAGCTGGGCAGAAGTGGGGTTCAGCAAACGGCAGTGATTGTTCCTGGGAGGGGCCCCAAGAATGCCAGAAGGATGCCGCGTTGCAAGCAGTCTTCTGTATCAGCTCTCTCTGGGTTGCTGGGACCAGAGAGTCCCCCACTGACTGGGATTACCCAAGGGGGGCAGAAGAGAGGGTCGCAGGCTGGATCGTGTTTCCCACACTACGTCTACATGAAGCCTAGCCGTTTGGTCATGCGACCAAAGCCCAGTACCGCAAGCTCTGGTGGCAGCTGATCAGAATTGCAAGTCAAGGTCGTCGAGCCGAGTTGAGCCTGTAGTCCTAGTTAGCAGGGGCAGAGTCACAGGGCACCCTTCCTTGGCCTAAATAACAACAGTTAGGAGCCAAGAGTCTAGGGTGACTGCTATTTGGGAACAGGAAGAGGCAGGCACGAGGCACTGACTCAAAACTCCCAGTAGAACGGCCGCTGAAAGGCCTCCCTGCTGTTGGCTCAGAAAGCTAATTCCAGACCTGTGGGGCTTGGCGGGACGCCGGTGCCTCCAGGCCCGAAGCTCAGCTCTGGGGTGGAGGTGGGGGCAGGGAGGGCATTTCGGGTCCTAAGGGTCCCCTAGAGGGATGTCCCAGGCAGCCCTGTGTGGCTCACCCTCAATGCCAAGGGCCCCTTGCAAGCATTGCCTCTGGGGGCTCTACATACCCCCAAGAAGCCCCGCCCCTCGCGCATCTTCACTTAGGTCCGGCGCTGACGTCACCACCTGCCCAGCTCAGAGAGGTGGAATTTACAGAGTCACTTAGGGTCACAGACAGAAGTTGAGACTAACCGCTCACGCCGTGTGCGCTCTACAACCCCCGGCAACACACACGCTCACACAGCGCCCGCGTGCACGCGCACGCACTCACCTGCTGACACACGGAGCCCACAGCCTTACGCGCGCGTGCACGGAACCCCGGCCCCCCAGGGCAGGAGACGTCGGCAGACGCCCCTGCCCACCCGGCAGCTTCTCCTTTCTTCCACTGCTCTGCAGCGGAGCCCCCACGGCCTCTGTGCGCTCCTCTCCCAAACACGTTTTCCCGATCCCGCTTCCAGCCCGACCCGCTCCAGTTCTACAACGAGAGAACATCCACAAACACGACGGAGGGAAGCAGATGGCAACAATTACAGGCGGGAGAAAGCAGAGCCGTTCCCTCCACCGGGGCAGGCAAACACATCGTCCCCGGGCGCTCCTGGGCAGTCTGGCGGCAGGGCTCCCGGGGCCCGTGCCGCTGCGGGGACAGGCCGGCTCTGGGGTGGGGGGGGCCACGAGGGCCTCCAAGAACCACAGGCAGGCCCACCAGGACCTGGAGGCCGCCGCCTGCTCTCCAAGGTGGGCGGGGCAGCTATTCTAGCACATTCCAGACTACCTCTCCACCGCCGACGCAGTCTGAGGCCCGAGGTCCTTGGGAACGGCTGCCTCCCCTGCACGCTGGGCCCGCTGTGGCCGGTGGGGGTTGGGGCCAGGCTGCCTGGGTCAAATGCCAGTCCTGACCCTTACAAGTGGGGTGCGCTGGGGCAAGCTAGCGGACCTCTCTGTGCCATCCTTCCCTCACCCCTCACAGGTGCCGCTGGAGCCTACCCCGCGGGATCACGTATTCGCATGTGCACAGGACTTCGTACTAGCCCGGCCCACGTGGGTGCCGCATGCGGAAGCTGCCTCCTCATCTCCCACGCGGAGAGCCCTTCCTGCCGGGCACTCACTCAGCCTCCGGGGAGGCCTGCCCGGCGGGGGATGAGGAGGCAAACCTCAAGCTGTGCCCTGAAGGATGGACGGGGCACTGCGGGCGGGGAAGGCATGCACAGAAGTTAGGGCGAGTCCTGCTGCTGGTGCGGGGTGTCTGCGGGCCTTCAGGTGGAACGACGGATTGCGCGGGGGTGGGCGGAAGGAGTTTACAGTGTGAGGACGCGGAACAGTGTATGCTGGTCTCGCCGTCTGTGTACGTGACCGTCCACACGAGCGGCTGCAACCCCACCGTCGCCCACCCTGTGTAACGAAGCCCATGGTAGCACAGGCCTATCGACAGAAACCAAAGGTGAGTTCCTAGGGCATCTCACCCACATTGTAACTAACGGGTGTGGACAAATGGTGTTGCTCCAGGACCTGCCGTCGCTGCGCAGGAGAGGTCTGAGGAGTGGAGGAAGCCTCACGGTAGGGCAGGGGCTCCGCAGCGCTCCCAGCCGGTGGAGCGGGCAGAGGGGGCTTAACGCCGTCGCCGGCTTCGCCGAGACCCTGGAAGTCCCCCGCCTTTGTCTTCCTGGTGTGCGTCCAGGGCAACGCGAGTGTGGCGTCCTCTCTAATCAAGCTGTCGATGGGGAGTCCTGACACCCGGCATTGATTTTTCACCGGAGGAGCGGCGGTTTCCCCTCGTCGCCTCGTGTCCCGGCAGTCAGTTCATATTTTTAGACCGTGTCTCTTCTGTCCTCACAGACCGTGGCCTGATTCCGGGCCACTGGGACCTGGGTTGTCAGCGCTCGTGTCCCTGGGATGCTCGGATTTCTAGGGGAGCCCCAGTCAAGGCCTGCACAAGTGGACCCACTTTCCTGACCCATTTCTCCCCAGCCCTTGGGGAGCACCTAGTGACTGTAAATATTCCACTGGCCAGGCCGGGACCGCGCACTTACTGACACTGCCGGAGAAGCTGGCCCTCACTCGCAGGTCACCTGGAGAAGCCCCCGTGTGTGACGTATCAGGCCCAGAGCCTTCCTTGCTGTGGGGACATCACAGAATATTTCATTCACATTTTCCTTCCCCTTCTTGCAGGGGGTGAGCAGAGGGGAAGCCACCGGGTCTGGGGACTGAGGAGCAGGCGCTCTGGCTGGAACCTGCCACCTGCCATCAGGAGGCTGCCCTCCCCTGGCCTTGGAGCTGCAGCTGCTGTGGGCGTGGCTCACGGCCGGTCTCCCAGCAGCCTCGGGGTGGGTCTAGGGGCAGGGCAGAGGCCAGAGGCTGGAGAGCAGAGACTCACAGACACAGCGGGTGTGGCCCAGCTGCCGCACGTGCATCCTTGTGCAGTGCCTTTCTCTGCTCTCCTAAGCCAGGCGCCCAGGTAAAGGGTTAGGTCCGCCCGGAGGGGTGGCTGTGATGGCTAATTGTCTGTGTCAGCATGGCGGTGCCGTGGTGCCCACATGTGTGGTCATACACCATTCTGGATGCTTCAGTGAGTGTGTTTTGGGTGAGATTAACATTTGAATCATTGAACTTTGAATAAGCAGACTGTCTTCTCTGCTGGGGGTGGGCCTCATTCAATCAGTTGAAGGTCTAAAAAGAACGAAAGACGGACCTCCCCTGAGCAAGAGGGAATTCTGTTGGCAAATGGCTTTGAACTTGAACTGCAACCTGGACACTTCCCTGGGTGTCTGACCTGATGACCTGCCCTGCAGATTTTGGATTTGCTAGGCTCCATAATCACAAGAGCCAGTTCCTTAAGGTAAACATCATGTGTACACACACACACACACACACACACACACACTCATATCGGTGTGTACGGCATCTCCAGCGGAAGTCTGGGCCAGTCCTGGCCCAAAGGCTCCTCACTATGGTGGATGGGCCGCTGTGGTGTTCTTAGAAGGGAGAAACACTTCTGTGTCCCAGGCTGTGGCTTTCCAAGGTATGGAGCCTAGCAGGCCTCCCAAGCTTTCAAAAAATGCGATTCCTGCCATGCCACCCCTGTGTCAAGCTCCTCAGGGCTCTCCACTGTCCTCAGGGCAAAACTCAAGCCCTGCCGTGCAGCCCACGTGTCCCCCAGGCCTGGGCCCGGTCTGGTCTGCAGCCTCGTGCCTCACCACTCTCCTCACACACTCCTGCACCTTCCCTCCCCACCCCCACCCCTTCTCTTCTTGTCTGCCTGCCTCTGCATGCACAGTCCTCCCCAGAAGGCTCTGCTGCCACCTCTTTGCTTGTCTAACTGGAACTGAAACTTCAGTACAGCCATTGCCTCCTCCAGGAAGCCTTCCCTGACTATTCTCTAGTCCCAAGTCTGGGCTGTATCTTCCTTCTCTGGGTTGTAATGGGGCTCAAAGCTGATCTTGATCTTGGGTCTGCTTGTGGGTTCCTCAAGGGCCTGCGCAGGGACATAGTTGGCATAAAGTGTTTGCTGAACGAGTGACTGTGAGGACAATGAAAGGGTCACTTCACATGGGGTTTCCCCGCTAGCATACTCCAGTGGGTCACTCGGACTCATGTTTATGCCATTTTTGGGGGGGACAGGATACTGTTATTTGCCAAGACCCTAGAGAAAAAGTACTGAGGGTCTAAAGAGAAAGGATAACAAAATTTATTGTGCACTCAGCCTAGTAAGGACAGAGCTAAGCTCTTCATTATTTGATTGAATCTACTCCTTAGAACAAGGTTCACAGGCACCTTTCAGAGAGGTTACTTGCTGAAAGCCGACAAAGTAGAGTGGAGATACGAAGCTGGATCTGATTAGAAAACCCGTGTGCTTAACCACCGCGCTCCAGAGCCCAGTGTGACTTTTATTCTTGGTAATAGTGCCCCGGTGGGCTGTGGGGTCTGTGCCAC